CGTATCACTAATGCAGGTATTAATATTTTTTTATTATTATAAATATGTATACATACGTATACATGTAACATACATTATCAGTCATATGTGTATATGTAGATCGTAGATAGATCTTTTATTCATTAACAATAATCACAATCCAAGTTTTGAGAAATAAAAACAAAAAGAAATGAAATGAAGCAATACCATATATAAATTCGTGAAATTAATTATTAGTCAAAGAAATGAAAATGTAGACATCATGTAACAATGTTAATAATCTATTATATTAAAAATTATATTTATAGCAATCAAGAAATAACAAAATTAGATATTATATGTATGTGTCAAATATACGTTAAAAAAATGTTTGTATGTCAATATCGTAAACAAATTATTTAGTAATTAAATATTAATTATTGGCTAAAGTAAATTACTATTAATTTATTCAGTGAAAAAATGATTGCTTAAAATAAAATTTTTTTATTATCGTTTTCCAAAACTGCATCCCTCTCTAAGTCTCTATGCTTACTGTATGCATGTACATAAGTTCACTGTATAATTGTTTGTAATACAATGTAAAAGTAAGTAAAAAAATAAACAATAAAAATATTTTCTTATGTTGGTATATACATACCATTGAAATTAAATCGGGGATCAAACAAAATAGAATAGAATATCACATTTGATTTTAATGTAGTTAACGCTGCAAAAATTTCTCGCTTCTTGCATGTTGTTCTGAATGAAGATGACTACGTAGCTGCAATAGACCAAACATTTCTATTTTGCATAATTTACAAAAAATAACGACGTTTCCCATTTTTTGTGCATCCCTATGATAAAAACAGAGAAAAAAAACGTATAAAATTTAATTCTAAGAATATACAGAAAAATATTATATCCACGTACTCGTAGGCAAGACGCTGCAATTGCACGAGATGCTTCAACATTTCCTCCGTCTGTTCATCTGCTTCGCGCAGATCTAATGCTTTATGCAACGGATATACGACATATTCTCTCGCAGATTCTTGAATGGATGGCAACAAATGTGAACTCTTGTAGCGATTCCACTTATCACTAAGATGATCGATCTCGTCATCCTCTGTATTTCGTAATTTTCTTCGTTTGTCCATCAAGTTCAGTAAAATGTATCTGACTTTATTTTGACATGCTATAACATCCTCGTCTCTTAAATTATCTAGTTGCAGTCCGATATTTATCCAGTGGCGCAATTTATTTACCTGAAAAATTGATTATCAGTTATTATTTTACTGAAAAGAAATGGAGTAAGAATAACAAAAACACAATTAGAAAAATTTGTAAAATTAATGATGATTGTTGGGTAGCAGAAAATGAACAATCTAATGTAACGTACAGATAATCTCACAAAAGTATTGCAAAATTATAAATTTGTTGTATATAGAAATAATATACCTCTTTTATATCATCCATCGCAATTTCTACGTCAAATGGAATTTCCATATCATGATCGAAAAATATAGCCCGACTAGTGTAATTATCTATTGGGCCCAAACCACACAAAGCTCCAGTATAATAAGTTCTGCGAGAATTGCATCTCAATTCCACACGTGGCGCAAAAATTAGCGGGAGCAATGTTGCAAGTCCGGGGATATTTGGCAGGAGAGTGGTATTTCTCAGTACTATATGATTATTATTGTTTTGAGTGGCGCACTGTGCGACCAAGAGGCGTTTCGATTGATTGAGATCGGTATCTATAAGAACAGAATTGACGGAATTCATTTCTACAGATATTTTCTTCGATTTTCCACCAAACGTCAACTGCGTCATCTCCATTTCTAGGGGAGAACATGGACCATGGAGTTTTATGCTCAAATTGCAATCCTCTTCTCTAGGTGCATTAGGATACTATAAAATCATTAATATAAAATTAATTGATATTTCAACAAACAGTTACTATAAATCTTTGTACAAAGTTTCAACTACTCTACTTACTTCTAACAAGTGACGTTTGTCATATTGTTCTTCTTCGTAAAACTGTTTCTCCTCTATCGGCATTGCATTAACGATATTAATATCTGTCCTCAATTCATGATTATGTTTCGATAAATAGCCTTCTTCCCTCCTCACGGCATATCCTTTTTCAATCAAACCCTCATTAATATTCAATCTCTCTTCTTTTTCATTAACAACAATTAATTCCAAGTTAATAACACTATCAACAACCGAATAAATGTTTCCAAATATCATTTCGTTTTCCTTGATTTGTGTCAGAAAATAATTTTTCGATCTTTCCGACCATTGGTGAAGATTACTTTGATTTGAAGGTCGCACAAAAGCCAAGTTGCAAGAAACTGCTAAAGGTGGAATTTTCAAGATTGTATAATTATCAATTTCTCTTAAATCACCAAGTCGCATTCTAGAAAAACGACCGTGATCAATAAAGAAAATGTCAATCAGTTCTGCGACTCCTGAGACATGTTCCTTAATTATAGCACGATGGTAAACCACAGAGTTCTTTTCTTCCATAGGGGCAGCGACTATGGTTGAGATTTTTGGAGAAAAGGAAAATTTGTCTAAAGGTTGATTGTTGAGAGTTTCTTGTATAACACGTAATTTATTACGAGTGGTGTCATCGTCAAGAATTGCCCAGAAATACCCAGGGCTGATAATCTAAAAATATTATATAAATATATACATATATGTGTATGTGTACACTACAAAAAGTAAAAAAGTACTTAATTTATCGTGAGTAAATAAAAAGTTTCAACATGCTAATAAAATTAAATTTTAAGCAATCCATCTTAATAATTATAGCAGACAATAAGACATGATGCATATAATGTAATTCAACTTATTTTAAAATTTATTATATTGTTATTAGAACAAAATAAAAGGTGTCTACATAAAAAAATTCTTTGAATTTTATCATTATTTTTTACTAACAAAAAAATAAAAACTTACATTTTGTATAAATAGACGTATAAAAGTTATATCAAGTCCTGGCAAATTTGGTCTGATTTGAGGAACATTGTTCTGTATCTTGCTTACATTTCTACGAAAGAAAAGATTCCGTTCGAATTTATGATGATCATAATGTTTAACCCTCTCATTCGCTTCTTTTACATTTAACAACATTAATTCAATCGGTATATTACACTGTCTCATCTTGATGGCCTATCAAATAAATATATATTATTACTAATTAGTACACATTTATCCTATATAAACCGAATATCTACATATATCTCTACGTATGCGTGCATGCATAATTTTTTTTTTATTATTATACTCGTTTGTGTGCTTACATACATACACATTTAATAATTAATTTATATAATGTTATAGGTTAATCATACATATCCTATTATTATATTTGTTCATATAATTATATATATTATATCTATACTCTCATTCATATCTTATTTACGTAATGTAAATTAATAATCACCTGATAAACAAACTCCGATACATTTTGAAGACTGTTGTCAATGGCTGTGTCCTCACGAAATTGCACGTAAACACGTTGCGATCCATCGAAAGATATAGCTATTTGCGTTTTTGGAATTCTTAGATGTGTGGAAAAAATCTGTTGAAATTTCTTAGCATATAAATATCCAGGTTGCGTCACTGGCCAACCTCTTAAACAAACTGTCTTCATGGGATCTAAAATACCAAAGGTCTTTTTAATAGTTTCTTCATATACCTCTTGATTTTGCAAACGTTTGAGAAAATAATTGGGGTAGAAAGCTCCAGCAAGGGCGACTTGAAGCACAAAATCACGATCGGCACCTAGAAATAAACAGGAAAAATATGAAAAATAATTATGAAATTAAAAAATTAATAATTAAATTTAAAACAAAACACTAAATAATTAAATACCTTGCCAGATGACTTTATTTATTCCAACACTTTCTTTAATGTTCATCCGTTTCAATCTTTCAGTGATCTCGTTCACCAAAACATCTAATTCATGCAAAGCTTTTGTGTCAAATCCATTTCTTTGGGCCCATTGTCTCTCGGTTTGGTAAGTATTCAATCGACGGCTAGCTCTTTCATTTTGCCACATTTTATAAACATATAAGGTTGCGATGCAGTCGCTATTAGAATCGTGAGCCCATTTTTTCCGAGTCGTATAAGAGGAAATGGTAGGATGACAATGTTCCAAACAAAAGACATTCTTAACGGCCATGCTGGCCCCCAAAATGATAGCGTCTCGTAAAACACCAAAAACATGGCCCAACATGATTAATTTCGAAATTCGAATGTCGAGAGGAAGATTCGCCATTACCATGCCGAGATCGGTTAATTTTCCATCAAACAGTTGATAAGAATCATTCTCATCTACTAAAGCCCCAACTTCTTTTAAGCTTAAGATGGTATGTGCCAAATTAGAGAGAGTAGGTGGATCAAGAGAATGTGAAAGAAGGATACGTGGCTCATCAATATTAAGAATTTTCGCGCGGAGAACAACATTGGCGAGTGGGGCGCGAAGTATTTCTGGCATACTGTAGTCTTCCAAGATATTCTGTAAATTTTATCGGAGAATGGTTAAAATTAATATTACATAGCAAAATATATATTACTTGGAAATCTTTGGAAAAAAGTAAGATTACAAAAATATAAAATTATAATAAAATCCATTGAGTTCATATACTTATTAAATATTAAATCCTATTAAACATGTTGTTTTGAATTTGAGAAATAAATTTCGTCTTGTATTACAATACTAGTATAACACTATGCTTGTAGAATTACTTACATCATAAAATGCTTTTGGTACTAATCTGTACACTCTGCCATCCATTACACGACCTGTGCGACCAGCTCGTTGAATACAATTTGTTTTACTTGCCCAACAAAGTTGTAAAGTTTGATAATGAGTTACAGGATCATATTTCAGCAATTTTACAAGACAAAAGTCTATCACTATAAATTACATGTGTTCAATTAATGACCATGTTTTAATTTATTGTACTAATTATTATTATAAAATAATATTCATTTGTTATACTTATTTAATACTTGTAATTTTTTAAATTAAACCGTTTCCTTTTTTTTAAAGAAATATAATCATATATATAATTCATAAAAGTTAGCAGAAATATTTACCATACTTTACATCTGGAACTGTAATACTGCTTTCGGCAATATTTGTAGAGAGTATAATACGTCTATAATCTTCCGGTGGTTTTTGGAAAACGTAACGTTGTTCATTATCAGAAACCATTGAATGCAAAATTGTCAAGTCCCATAACTTATCTTTATGGAAATCCGACGACAGGTAATTAAATAATTCCTCAATTTCATAGATTCCTGGTAAAAATACAAGAACGGTGTGTCTTTGAAGTGATTCGGAGTCCTGTTTGCTATCATTCATATCGATTTTATCTAGGGCATTGATGATAAGTGAGCAAAAGTTCATCATGCTTTGAGTAGCTCTTGGTTCCATGGCAGATACTGTTGGTATCTATAAAATAAACAAATCAATTATTGTATAATTATACAAATTCATGCATACACGTCTTTATTATAACATTATATGGTATTCATGATATCTGCAATATTGAATAAGATAATTTTAATTTAAAAAAAAGAATAAATCGATATAATTACACAATATCGTAAACTTGTAAATAACTGTCATAATTTATACTCACATTTCCTATATTTTTTATCTCATCCAAGTAATACGTGCGAATCTCAAAATGTCTTGTCTCAGGAATCTTGAGAATTGGCGCCGGAATTAAATGATTGTTAACTTTTGTAGAAAAGTATCTCGCAAATTTTGTTACGTTAATTGTTGCCGACATAAGTATAATTTTAACTTGTCTAGAATTGGTTTGTAATAATCTTTTAACCACTAGTAAAAGAAAATCCAAATGTTGATCACGCTCGTGAATTTCATCCAATATAATGTGCGTATAGTCCAACAAATGCTTAGCACGAATTAAGTGTTGGAGGAGAATTTCGGTGGTGCAATAAGTCAGACGTGTTTCATGTGACAATTCCTTTTGCATACCCACTTGGTAGCCCACAAGGCTACCAAGACGCCAACCTCCTTCATGACACACTCTTTTGGCGACGCTTATCGCAGCGATTCTTCTTGGTTGCGTAACTATATTAATTAGTAATGTAATTTTTTAATAATTTACATATATACGCCATAATTTTTACCATGTTACATTATATATAATTGTAATAGTAAAACTAATTTAAAAATACCTATAATATTGCAGTTAAGTCTTTTCTTGATATTAGTATCGAGAATAAATTGCGGAATCTGAGTGGTCTTTCCACAGCCAGTAGGTCCTTGAATAATGACTACAGAATTTGTCTCAATTATAGGCAGTATCTTATCCTTCATGGATAAAACAGACAGATCATTAGAGTGCGGATTGTAAGTGAATTTGCACTCTTGATAGACCTTAGCCAGATCTACCATATAGAGTTTGTGCTCACTGTCTTCTAATCCATGGATTGTTACATCTAATGTAGACTCTTTTCTATTCTCATCTCTAATATTCATATACTAAAAAGAATGTAGAAACGTAATAGATGAGACAACTCTTATACTTTCAGGATAAATACATATTTGCATACAAAAAATTTTGTACAATTAAACAACTCTATACCCTTAGATATTCCTCAGCTTCTGCCTCTGTGTAATCCTTCACATAACTTTTTTCATGAATAAGTTGTGTAGGTGTGAAATGGTTACCTCTCTCGCTTGAAGAATCCATAGTTAAAACTTTATCTCACACAGTTCTTGATCTAGAAAATTAATATAATGAAATAATTGCTTAACAAGTTACGTGTGCACTAGCAATCACTGATGCCTTCCCATATGAATTCAGGCACACGTAGAATATATATCTATACATTTTCCATGTATGTATACACAAAGTTTAGAAATGTGTTGATATGTGCATAAATTCACGTGGGAGGGCATCATTCCTAGTGTATGTACCTGTAAAATTATAACAAAAATACATTAAACTGAACCTGTTTTGATATGCAAGTGATCTCACTAAGTATATATAATGATTTTAATTATTATCTGGCCGAGAAGACCTAGTAAATTCTATATTCATTGCGATACTAATATTGCTGCTACTATTACTTCTTTTATTATTGATACCCCAACACCTATAATCGAGAATATAGCTAACGTGTAATAAAACACATACGTTACAGAGGTAGTTTGAATCGAAATATGCACAAAAAGGCAATCACTGTTGAAATTACGATGTAAGATTAATACTGACTCTGTATTTCGATAAATACTACACACATACTTGTTCCTCTTCTTCAAATAGCATCAGAATTCACTTTGATTCACTTTCTAGGCTGGAAACGCATGGTGTAAAAAGAAAGGTGGAACCACAGTATAACCAGTAGTGGCACTCGCTCTTTTATTTCACGTTCGCGCCGATCCGTACCACAGTATAA